ACTTGACTTGCAGCTGAGTGTCGCCTTTATATAGCAGTCGGCTGCTCGCAGACGAAAGCGTAGAAGCATCGAATTGTTCGCTATGGAAGGTTCTTGTTTTATCGTTTCTAGAATGTACTAGTTATCGGCTTCTCTCTTTCATCTGACATTCGCCTCGCATTTTCGCAACAATATTATATATCGTTGGAAAGGTGACAGTCCGAATTGTAAATTAAGCATAAAATAACTTCATTTTGATTTGAGTTGCTTAGTGAAAAGAAAAGTTTGAATAGAAAAAAATTTATGGAAATTTATGTGGAAGACGTCAAAAACCACCTTGACACCTTTTTCAACAATCAGGCATCCGTAAATTGGTTGAACGTTGGGAGTGGATTGCCGAACATGATGGCGAATACATAAATAATTGATTAATAAAAGCGCTTTCTTCAAAAAATTTCAATTTTAGTTTGCACTTGAAATCAGGCACGAACTTATGCACTCATCCAATAAAATGTATTTAAAAAAAATTTTTTTTCATGAAACTTCTTTTTTATTACAAATGGCGTTAAATGTGAAACACCTTCAAAAATTTAAATGACCGCCTTGCGAATTTTCGTAAACTTCGCTCTATTTAAGGTAATTTTCGAGCACTTTTTGACACCTATGGGGCGCTGTCTCAGCCCTTATTCGACGTTTGTAGGCTTTCAAGTGCTCAAGAGCTGAAGATTTACTCCCATAAACATAGTCTTTCGCAAAGCCGCACAAAAAAAAAAAAAAAATCCAACGGTGTCAAATTGCACGACATCGATAGCCAATCGGCATTGCCAAGAGGACAGTTTAAGTGGCCATGAAGTTTCTCTCGCAATAAAGTCATACTCGCTCGTGTTGTGTGGCACCATCTTGTTGAAACCTCATATTGTCCAAGTCGTGTTCTTCAAATGCAGTCTAAAAAAGTTGTCGTTTTCAAAGAAGTTAGATCCAATCATCCCTCTGGAAAGAATAGGGCAATGTCTCGCTTCAATTATTTGGGGATTCTCGGTACCGCAAATCGGCAATTTTGCATATTTACGTATGCTCCGAGTGAGCAATGCGTCTCGTCGCTGAGGAAAATTGTGTTTTTTTGTATGAAAAATCACCATCCACTGATTATTGTTCAAGCACCCAATCGACGTACGAGTATGTGCGGCATTGGGTATGGTCTGCTTGCTTCCGCTGTTGAGTGAGCTGGACTTTCTTTTGATTTGGGTGTAAGTTCAAGTGCAGCATACGTCATTATGTGTCGTAAGAAAGTCTCAGCTATTGAGAACGTCGAGAAATATACAAATTCGGTTCATCGGCTACACTTTAACTTACAGCAGCGATATTTAAGGAGGACCATGCAAAACCATGATGCACAGGCCTTGCAATATCTGTAACCGATCCGGTCTCTACAAATGCCTTTAAAATTTTACCAATTGATTGAGTAGTTGGACGATTATGAGCACGAAGCACCTTTGTAGGTTTCAACGTTTTTAACGCATTGTGCGGTTGTTAAGTGATCTATGTTCGTATATGTCTGACTTTTAACTAAAACAAAACACGCTTTGTTTAATTGTTAAGTTTGAATGATGTCAAAATTCAGCACTATACCTTTGAAACCACGAAATGGATAACCCTATTTTATATATATAGTAATTAAAATATTAACATACATACATACATTTACGTACCCATGTTTGTTTTGTGTAAATTTCGATAATCAAAAAAAGTAAAAAAAAATAAAAAAATAGAAAAGAAAACAAATTGTTTAGGCGAATATTGTAGTAAGCAAATTTAGGAAGGAAAACAATGAAAAATGTTTACAATATAAATATACACATATATGTATGTATGTATGTATGCATAAATTGTTATGTCAATAAATAAAGCACAAATTACAATTCGAAAATGCAGACACTATATTTTCGGCT